TTCCTCCCCAGGTGCATCACCTTGCACTTGTCTGTGTTGAAACCCATCCTATTCTCATCTGCCCACCCTTGTAACCTGTCTAGGTCAGATTGTAGCCTGTTGCTTCCTTCTAGTGTGCCCACGTCCCCCCACATCTTAGTGTCATCAGCAAATTTGAACAGGGTGCTTTTTACCCCCTCATCCAAATCACTGATGAAGATGTTGAACAGCATGGGCCCGAGGACCAAGCCCTGCGGAACCCCTGCACAACATATTGAAAGGTGTAATTTTCAAACACAGAATTCCCTTTCCTATTGGAGCACTAATCTGTGATTCAAAAAACTGCCACCTTGCCTGCATGTACATTCCTCCTTTTTTTGTTATGACTGTCTCTATCAGCTTGGGATACTGTAATGGATACTCCGCTAAGTATTTGTGTAGTGAACTACATTAGTTCAATGGCACCTGGACAACAAAAATAACCAGACAAGATGCCAGGAAGATTTCTAACTAGCCCACAACACTAGTAAATAATGTACCTGGAAAATATTTTGCAATATATTATTCAATGCGAATTAACTTACCTTTTGTAACCTTTTACATCTGATGGAGATCTACCGCCAGCTCCTACCCTGTTACCCTCATCCAAGCACTGTTGCTGAGATATAACTGTACTCCACTCATTGAAGATACATGCTGATGTCAAAAAATCAATTTCCAAAGGAAACTGGCCACCCTTGTATGGACCAAGTACGCAGTTCTTTGCCTGCACATCTAGACACAAATTGTTCTGACCTATTGAAGGAAGGACTAAACAGGAAGTCTCAGATTCTATTCTGTCTTTGAGACGTGTAAGTTATTTCACATACTTTTCTGGTGTCGGGATTAAATGCCCCAAGGTCATGGTGGGCCGGGCAGTGCCTTGGTACGAAACAGGTGGGATCTTTGGCGTGGAGCTCTGAGGCACAGAAGCGTTTGGTTTCAAAAACAAACTAGGTTTATTTAACTTACACTTGTGAAGCATAGGCACAGAAGTCTTCAGTTACAGTTAAACAGAACGAACGAAACAAAGGGATCTGTCAGCTCACGAGGTTCACCAGCAAGCCCTTGTTATCTAACCCCGGAGAGCTAGGGGCGGCTGCCTGCTGGCTAGTCCCAGAGCTGGTCAACAGCTTATGAAAGGGTGAACAAACTATGGAACAAAACTGTAACGAGGCCGGAATCGTGACGCCAGTCCAAAGGACAACGAGTAGTCAATAAACAAAGCCAAGGTCGAGAGCCGTTACATGAAGCAGTGGAGATGTAGACGAGGTAAGAAGGGAAGAGCCAAGCCGTGGTCGTTAATCGGAGCCGAGGTCAAGAGCCGTCCAGTAAACTGAAGCCATAGTGAAGATCAGAAGTCAAGGTCGGAGTCGGAGCCAAAACAGTTCGAAAGCTGGAAAATCAGAACAGTATGTATAATATACGATCAAAAGTGAAGACGTAGCGAGGGCATACGCAAGAGGAGACCTATAGGCCGAGAAGCCTCACTGAGGGACAGTAACTGAGATCAGCCTCTGTCCTCAGTCGAACGGATCTCCCCCGGTCCAGGAGGGGCCCACTAAGCTTTTATATGTATTTGGTAGCCAATTACAATGTTGTGTCCACAGAAATTTCTAGTCAAATGACATCATGCTTTTAATGAACTGGGCATGCATGACACTGAGCTCTCTGTTGTTACCAGGCATGCATCAGGCTGGAAAGTAGGTCAGTCTGATTGACAGCTCTCAGGGTCGTACAAGGGGCATGTGTCGAGCACACTTGTGGAAAATTCCGTTTGAGAGCTCTTCTGCGCATGTCATCTTAACCCCTTGCATTGGCAGCATACATAACTACAAATTTACTTTTACACCTGGAATGATTTCTTAACAAAAAATGTATCAACAACATCAGGAGCAGGGGCCATAACTCAGTTTTTCCTCCCACCAAGGGAGAAAAGTACCTGAATCAGGGTCTATTGTTAATTTTTTCCTTCTGGCCCCAGTTAATTTTAAATTCCTTTCCACACAGTGGCCCAGCTTCAACAGGAGGGATGGAAAACTCCTTGACCCTCCTCGACACATAGCCTAGTTGTTAAGGCACTTTCCAGGGAAGTGGGAGGTATGAATTCAAACTCTCTCTGACTGGAAGTGTACAACCCAAGTCATCCACTTCCCAAGAAATATCCCAAATGGTAGGTTTGCTCTTTGCAATTTCTTCTTCTCTCCTTTTCTTCTCTTTTTTGTTAGTCAGTTCAAGTAGACATCTCTCCAAGCTGAGTTAATATGACAGACATGTAGGACACATATGTATCTGCATGATGAACAAAATGGGAGGTCTGATTCCCTCCTATGGAGTTGTATAAAACTTTATGTTGCCAAAATGGGGTAATTATGCATCTGCAGTGTGGAACAGGTTCAGCATATTAGACTACATATTAAGGGAATGGGAAAGCTGTTTGTTTCTATTGGAATAGGATCACATTCCTCAGCTGAGTTTCATACATTTTGGACTAGTGGTGATATTTTCTTGTCCTAGTTAGCTCCAATGTTTGATTAGCTCTGCCAACTATGGCATCACATTAGTGGCTCATGTTCATTTTGTTGTCTATCATGACGCCCAGCACCAGTTGTGGTGCTGGATAGCCAAGCCTGTAAGTGTTGTGGATTATTTCTCCCCAGAAGGAGCACATAGCATTTCTCTATATTAAACAACATCAGGTTGAGGCCCGCCCACCTGACAAGCCTGTCCAGATTGACCTGTAGTGCCAGCCTGTCCTGGAGCATGACCATGCTCCCCCATAGTTTGGTGTCATTGGCAAACTGCCAGTTCACATTTAATACCAAAATCCAAATAATTGATGAACACATTGAAGAGCACTGGTCTGAGTACTGAGCCCTGAGGGACACCACTAGTTACCTCCCACCATGATGACTCTGGCCTGTCTATCAGTACTCTCTGGGTCCTACCATGGAGCCAGTTTCCTAGCCACTGGACCATAAAGGAGTTGAGGCCACATTTTTCCAATTTAACCATGAGAACATCATGGGAGACCAGGTCAAAGGCCTTTTTGAAATCCAAGCAGACAACATCAACCTTATTTCCTCTATCCAGGTGACGAGTTACCAGATTGTAGAAGGAGATGAGGTTGGTTTGGCATGACCTGCCCGTAATGAAGCCATGTTGGCTATCCTTCAGAATACTACCTTCTGTTAGCCTGTTAGTGATGGACTCTTTGATAATTTTGTTTAGAATTTTACCCAGGATTGAGGTCAAACTGATTGGCCTGTAATTCTTGGGGTCCTCCTTCCCTCCTTTCTTAAAGATAGGCACAACATCGGCCTTCTTCCAGTCTTCTGGGACCTCTCCTGAGCACCACAAATCTTCAAATAACTTGGCCATAGGTTGCACAATGGCATTGGCCAGTTCTTTTAGCATTCTCAGGCGTAGTTCATCTGGTCCTGCTGACTTGTAGATATTTAGTCTTTGTAGGTGGTCTCCCACAAGATCTATACCAACTATGGGAGTGTGGTTGTTCCCACCATGATCATCCTGCATCCTGTTAAGCAGGCTAACACCCTTGGATAGTGGAATACCAACACAAAGTATTCATTCAGGAGTTCAG